TTCTTCTGGGATTACTCCACTGCTGATGGATCCCCCACAAAGACCAAGTTAGCTAAGGCAAGTGAGAGAGCATGCTGCACCGGGGAATTTATGCGACAATGTCGTGCAGTATGGCCAGCATTTCAGAAAGTAAGAAATCAAATCCAATTTCCTTTAACTTCTTTTATTAAAAAAAAAAATCACACGGAGTCTCATTGATTCTGTGGTTTATTAAAAAAAAAAAAAAACAAAAAGCAAAGTCCTTGATTTACTTCCAAATAAAACATCTTAGTGATAATGTTTGCTAACCAAGAAATAGAAAGTTGCCGGGAAGGCAGACACCTTGATTTGCTTCTTTCTGCACAGCTAGTTAGTGCTTTGCACAGTAACTTTATCTGATTATAAGCACTTGTCCATAATAAAAGAAAAGATAAAAAATTTAAAGATATAGAAATGGGTAAGGAACATAATCTTTTAAATCTTTTTTATGTGTATGAATGTTTTGCCTGCATGCATGTATGTGTACCACATGTATGCCTGTTGGATTTCCTAGAACTGGGGTTACAGATGGTTGTAAGCACCATATGGGTGCTAAGAATCGAACCCGTGTCTTCTGCAAGCTCTGCCATGAGCCATCTCCCAGCCCAGAGATCAGTATGTACCTAGAGCTAGACATATTTCCTTCACAATTGAGGGAGGGGGTGATGTTGGGGACCAGATTTCTCCATTGTGATTGTACTCGTGTAGTGTTAGGGATGAGGGGGATAATCCTAGTGGAGGATCAGAAAGACACCCACCCTGAGATTTCCCCTTCCTACCAGCTCCAGGCTGTGTGGAAGCCAGGTGGAGGAAGATGGGGTTTGGACACAGCAGCTCTCTGTATCAGAAAACATCTGATAAAGATTGATACAGATTAGCTCTCCTTCCGTTAGTGGTTCCACCACAGCATCATTGGTCATCTGTGCTTTCCTGAGAAAACCTGGCTTAAGTGTGGCTTGTTCCTAGTCTGTTCACTACCACACACCTCTGGAGGGTCTGCAGCCACTCTACAGTGATCCAGTGTGTTTCTCAGTCCCTGGGCACTTTTTGTCCTACTTGGCCATTTTCCTAAAACCATAATCCAGACCTTTTGAAAGGGAAATACCCTCGGCCTTTCTTTCTTCTTTCTCTCTCTCTCTCCTCCTCCTCATTCCTCTCTCTCTCTCTCTCTCTCTCTCTCTCTCTCTCTCTCTCTCTCTCTCTCTCTCTCTCCCTCTCTCTCTCCCTCTCTCTCTCTCTCTCTCTCTCTCTCCCTCTCTGTCTTTCATAACAGGGTTTCTCTGTACAGTCCTGGCTGTCCTGGAACTGGGCTCTGTAGACCAGGCTGGCCTCTAACTCAGAGATCCCTTCTGCTCCCAAGTGCTACAGGAATTCTTAGAAGGAAATCTTTATTCTTTTATGACTCTCATGGATGGCTATTAGGGTTAGAACTATTTCATCGGGTAGGGTGAGGTTGGGGATCAACATAGGCAAAGGCCTGTGGCTTGTGAAGGGCTTAGACTCTAAGTCCAGGAGCAGCCAAGGAAAGCTCTGTTGGCTGTTGTGGCTGCTGAACTCAGCACCTGAGGGACAATTCCTTTTAATTGCAGAAGGCTACAAGGATCTCCCTGTTGCCTTCCAGGAAGTATACATCTGCTCAGGCACCTTCATCACACAGGGAAGAGTCTGAAGGTAGAGGACTCTAGCAGAGGGAGAATGCCACCTGGAAGGGTTGATTACCTTCTGGACAATTAAAAAAAAAAATCCACAGTAAGTTTACATTCCCCAGGAAGTTTACATTTTCTTTGCGATGATCAGGGAGCCACATGGATACTGTGAACAGAGACAGAAGGGGCCACTTCCTGTATCCCCACATGGAAGGGTGAGCCCTTCACTAGTTACCAGGAGCATCCATTTTCCAGAGCAGGAGGAATAACTTGTGGAGCTTCCCCTGTGGCTTTGTGAATTCCATTCCTCAGGTGTAAGTTTTCAGATCTCCCCTAGCTGCTGGAGCCAAACAGGTGCCCTCTGGCTCACTCCGCAGGGCCCTGTGTCTCAGCCAAGGATCCTGACATTCTAAGCAAGGGTGTTTGCCTCCCTGGCAGCCACAGAGCAAATGCACAGCCTTTTAGGGGGCGGAGAGGGGGTGGTGATGGGAGGGAGTGTCGAAATTTGCAAACTTGGGATCCTGGGCACAGGGCCAGTGAGAGCTGGGTGAGTTGCCTTGGTGTTCCAGGGAAGGAAGCTGGCCCACCAGCTGCATTCTGGGCATGGTGTCTGACACAGAATGGTGGGGAGCGAGGCTGCTGTCAGCTCTAGAGAGAGATGCAAGCTGCTTCCTCTGTACTCCTTTAGTGCTGCTTTTCTTACAACTTGGGCAGGATCCACTCTCCTGAATGTGTGCAAGAAAGCCTATTCCCTATATTCCTTGGGACCTGATTGGATAGTACTTTGAAGGGAGTACTAAAATGCTAGCAGCCTTCAGCACCCAAATGTGACTATAGTATCCCTGAATAACTCAATTTCCTAACATTGGCACTGGCTATGGCTTATCTCTTGCTGGGAAGGGATTCTAATTCACACCCCTCACACTTTTAAAAATAGCTTTTACGGTTGCCAAGGGGAGGGCCTGGTATTTACTATCAGAGAATATATGAATTAAAATACTAGCTTTCCCCCGCTCCTGAGACTCCCTGGCAATACTTAGCTGAGCACTCTGATACCTGGGAGAAAGCCCTTCCCACAGAATGTCCTGCCTTCTTCACAGGGCCTGACCCAAAGGCAGCACACACCAGGATTTAGTTGCTTAGTATTCGTACCGTGTCAAGATCGGAGTGAGCGCTTATACTGCAAAGCTGGGTGTGTGGCGGCCAGACCAAACACAGCAAGCAGTTCAAATCACAGTTAGATTATAAGAAAGCACAGGGCAGAGCCTGCAGGCCTCTCTTGTCAGCGGAGCAGTACATGAAAGGAATCACTCCATAAAGGCTGGTAGGGAGGCTGTGGTGGGTCCAGGCTTGTTCTTCCAGGGCTACTGTTACCTCTGAAAGTTGGTTAGGGTTTTAAATATATTTTTCTCCTCCTCCCCGCTCCCTTGCCTGCCTCCCCACCCCCTTTATCTTTTAAATAGAGAGCATCTCTGCCAGGGTGGAGAAAGGGACAATCCCTTGTGTGTTCCCACGTTTCACAAAGGGTCAGTGATAGTGGAGGTGTGAGCTGGCCCCGTGATTACTTCTGGAAACAACAGACTCAACAAGGGAAACGGTGTTTGGACAATAATTCACATATGTTAATGCTTAGCTCCATCAATGCCAGCTTTATTTTCTCCTTGGTATACACAAAGCTGGCAGACAATTTTAACTGATGAGGTAATGTCATCTTTAATTTACAGAGCCTTGAGCTGTCCACTCAAAGCAGTGATGTCATCCTGGTGATTGTCTCCTGGGGTTTTCCATAGACATAAGTCATGGGTCCTGGCAGTTCTGTTAACGACTGCGTGGTCATCATGAAGATTTGCCCCACTTGATTTCTTTTAAATTGCCAAATACAGTTTATGTGACTGCCATATTTTAGCCAGGCCTGAAATGAATATATCCCAGGATTTTTAAGGCAAGTTAAGGTTTGAAACAAATGGGTTGCAATGGTTTCATGTGAATTCTAGGAGAAAAATTAAGACAAATCAGGATTGTCAGTCTCCCAGGTGGCTTGGTAAATAAAAAGAACGAAAGGGCTGGGGTTTCTTCGGTGTAATGCTTGCTGCACAGGCATGATGTCCTGAGCTTTAATCCCCAGCAAGTACATACAAAGCCAGGCGTGGCAGTATGCATCTCTAAGTACTTGCCCTGGGAGGTGAAGATGAGGGTCCCTGGCTCGTTCACTGCCTAGCCAGTCCAGCCTGATCGGCGAACCTTGTTTCAAAAAATGAGGTGGAGAGCTCTTAAAGAAAGATAGCCAGTGTTGACCTCTGACCTCCACACACACATACACATACCCCCCCTGCACGAACGAACGAACACACACACACACACACACACACACACACACACACACACACGCTTTTAAAAAAGAAGGAAGACAAAAGCAAAACACTAAGAACTGTAACCCCAGACGAATGAAAACTTCCCCATTCTTCTCGCAGACACCTTGTGTCTCCTGTTGATGGTTTTCTGTCTTTTAAAGGCCGAGCGCACATTAACCAGGTGTGACCCTTTATCACTGGTCCCATCAGTATGATCCTCAAGCCTGGGTTTTCCTTGATTTCACGGTTGTGTTGTTTCTTTTCCCAGCACTATCCCTTTAAGGATTCTGGACCGGCGAGTATAAACAAAGTTACTTTCCAATTTTACATCTCCCCCCCCCCCTTTTCTTGCAGACTTTAAATCACGCTTTGTGACATAAGTGTGTGCTGGGGGGCGGGGGGAGGTATTCTGTCTCAGCCACCGAATGTGGTTACAGAGAGAGTCCTTTCTCAGAAGACTGGAGTAGGGCAGAATGGCATTAAATAGTGAAGAATCTGTTTATTATTCCGTGGCCATATGTTTAGAAGGTCGCTCACAGAAATCAAAGTATTGTTCATGGGGCACTCTAGCCAAGGAGACATTCTGAATTCATAAGAGAACCTCGCAGTTTGAAAAGAATGCCCCGCATTATGCACAGGACACCCCTACCACAGACAAAGCAACACTACTTAATAATAGAGAATTGTGCTTCAGAGAGTTTGCTTTTTCTTGTTAATTGGTTACTTTAACTGACATTGTCTGGAAGTATAATGGACACCATTCTTCTTAATGGTTCTGTGCTGTTGATAATGTGCACAGGCAATGCAGTCCATTTTAATTATTGCATTTCACTCTATGTTCCCTCCCTCTGTGCTAAGCAGTGGTAAATGCAGATGGTGTATTTTTTCCCCTTGACGGACCGTACCAGATGTTAGGTTTCTCCAGTTTTGAAGTTGAAAGGACCTTTCTCTCCACCTCACCATACCTCCCGTTCTTGTTTGCAAGGTATGACTACGTGGAGGTGATTGATGGAGAGAATGATAGCGGTCGCCTGTGGGGCAAGTTCTGTGGGAAGATCGCACCTTCTCCTGTGGTGTCTACAGGGCCCTTCCTCTTCATCAAATTTGTCTCTGACTATGAGACTCACGGGGCAGGGTTTTCCATCCGTTATGAAATCTTCAAGCGAGGTAAGTAACTTACATAAGAACAAGAATGGCTAAATGGGTCTTTAGTGTTGTTTGATTTCCCAAAAAAAAAATCACGTGAAAAGAAAGATGACGGTCATGACTTCATCCTTCCATAAAGAATTGAATTTTTTCCCTTAATGTTGGAAAATGTTTTCAATAAAGAAAATATACCCATGATATGGCAGAAATATGTTTAAAATGGATCAAAAGTACTCAGAAATTTTAAAAAAAAATGGTGTCACCCCAATGTGTGCTGACTATTTAAATTCAATGCATCACATTGAATTCTCTGAAAAGTATTGATTCTTATCTTTTTCAGAAATAAGCTAAAGTACTGCTGGAGTTTAATACATTCTCTCTCCTTCTCCATCTCCCTCCGGCCCCCTCCGAGATCTATAACCCAAGTTAGCCTCTAACTTGCTATGTAGTTGAGAATGACCTTGAACTTTGATAGTCCTGCCCCTCCTTCTAGGTAGAAGGATCACAAGTGTGTGGTCCCATACACCAGGCTGGCCTTGAACTCACAGAGATCCGCCTGGCTCTGCCTCCCGAGTGCTGGGATTAAAGGTGTGTGCCATCACCACCCAGCAGTTTGACTTCTTTTGTGTCAAGGGGAGTTAGTTAGTCCCTGTTACATTAAATCTATGCATATTCCTTAGCATATTCCTTTCACTCATCTGACAGTTCATAAGCTTCCAGTTTTGAGGAATTATGGCCAGGACTTGAAAAAAAAAGAGAAAGTTTACCATCTTACAAGCACTTTCAAAGATATCTACCCCCTCCAAAAATGACTGGATGGCTTCCCAATATGCAGTACTACCTAGAGCAATGGTTCTCAACCTTCCTAATGCTGCAATCCTTTAATACAGTGCCTCATGGTGTGGTGACCCCAACCATAAAATTATTTTCGTTGCTACTTCATAACTGTAATTTTGCTACTGTTATGAATCATAATGTAGATATCTATGTTTTCCAATGGTCTTAGTTGACCCCTGTGAAAGGATTGTTTGACCCCAAGAGGGGTCAAGACCAACAGGTTGAGAACCACTGACCTAAAGACTTTCGCTAAGACCAAACTGGAAATATTCCAGATCCAGTCTGCAACAGGTTAGCGCATAAACACTGTGAGGTGTCTGGAAACTACTGCAGATTCCTCTTGCATTAACTTTTGTTTCTGTTATTTACATTTTTAAGTCGGCCGGAATTTTATGACAATCTACCAACAGTGGCTTAAGTTTTAAAACACATTGTTCTGAAATACAGGAGAAAGTGCTTGTTTAAATAGAAAAAAAATCTAGTCACAACAGTGTCAAAAACCTAAGGAATTCCAGATCAGCGATGGCTGAGCCATGGGAAGAAGAGCCGCTGGGAGTTGGGGAAGCATCAGTATGACTTCTTTACATTTCAAAGATGTCTGCCTCATGTAGAAAGAACTTTCTGCATAATTTTACGTGAGCAGAGGGCTGGGCAAACAGTGAAGTGCTTCTTGAAGGCATGAAGACCTGAATTGGACCCCTAGTGGACATGTAAAAAGCAAAGTGTGGTGGTACACGTCTGTAATCCTAGCACTGGGGAACTGGAGAAGTAGGATCCCGGAGCATGTTATCCAGCTGTCCTAGCCTACTTAATGAGCTAGTGAGAGACCTTGTCACAAAAAAAAAAAAAAAAAAAAGAAGAATACCTAAGATTGTGCCTACACATACATATGCCCTCTACACGCACATACACAGAAAGAGAGATGGATAGTGACAGAAAGACGGAGACAGACAGAAATTAATATAAGCACATACTTAGAGTATAACTGATAGTTTACAAACCACATCAGGATGGACCCATGATTACAGGGATCCAAGTGTTCTTGCATTGGAAGTTGTGTGACTTGTTATTCCTTGTTATACCAAAGGTATTACATGTCTGCATGTGCCCACACATACATTCACATGGGCTTGCTTTCTTGCCTAGGGTATCATCAAAGGCAATAGGTGTCAGAAAAGGAGTAAGAATAGACTTTCATTTTCAGTACTTCTAGAAGACCCAAAGCTAGTGGAGAGAGATGTGATGGGGAGGAGGGAAAGGCAGAGGGATTAGGAGAGGTTGCTGACATGTGCAAAGTTCTTCTTCCTTCTCCACCAGAGCCCACAGCACTGTTAGTCTACCCTCTGTTCCCCCTCATGTGTCCTCTCTGTAACTGTTCTCTTCAGTTTCCTATAACAGACAGACAATCACAAACTCCTTCCAGGTCCACCGCCATGAACCACTGAATAGACCAAAATTGTGCTCTTGCCAATGTAGCTTAATCCTATTTGACACCTCCCCATGAGCCATCAAGCCCCTGTCATTGGAACCCATCACTGGCCTCTTGCCTGGTGGGTTAAATTCAGTCCTGCTGGATGCTGGACAGGGCCTGGGCAGCCCTTGTCCTTGTCTACCTTCAACGGTCACCTGCTCCAATGGGCATCCTGCTCCAGGACTATGCTGTGGTCAAAGTGTGAATTTTACTTCTGCCACCGCCTAGTGGTGTGGTTGGTTGGCACATCAGTTGCCCAGTCAGTGGAACCCAGTGTGGGCATGTGAAACCAGGTGGAATAGAAACATGTCATTCTCGCACCTGTCCACTGACTCATCCTCAGTGAGCACTGTTATAGCAAGTTCAGATGAGCTGATTCCTTCAAGCCTCAGTGGTCTTCCAGGACGCACTTGGCCTTTTAGGAAACCTGATTCCAATCTCTCTTCTCAGGACACATTCCTAGTTAGCCTGACTTTTTTTTTTTCTATGTACATGCCCAGGTTGTCCTCTATGTGTACACTGTATACAGTACACAGAATGTCTGTGTGTACAAGTATACTGTATACTCATATATTACATTTACCAATGTTTCCCTTAATATCTTCAAGTTTCCTCGTGTAAAATTTGCTTCATTTCCCAACACTGTTGCTTCTATTTGAGAAATGCAGAAACCCACTTTTCCATTACTACACATATATTCTGTATCAAAATATTCACAAAATACCTGCATAAATATACATTATTCCTCAGAAGTCATATAATGATACAGAACTCGCGGATTAATGATCTTTTGAAAACTCAGCACTTCTTTCAGGGCTCAGCAACTTCAGAAGTTTCTGAAAAACACATGGATTATACTGATCATAGTTTAATGCAACCAGGAAATTAATTTTTTAGATGCTGGCTTTGAAGTTTTCAGGGAATGGGTTACAATTATGAGAATTTGCCATTCAAATCCCAAGAGCTGAGGACAGGACTGTCCTGCCTGGTAGCCTTAGCACCACTTTGCTTCTCCCCTGGTCACCCTAGACCACCCTGACTGTCTCCCCAGAACCCCTTTTTTCCCTTACATCTGTTCTCCCAGATGTTGGAACTTTGGGCCACTAGCCCAATATTCACCTAAAGAAACTTCTCTGGGACACCCATGCCTCCAGCCGGTCACACTTCCTTTATTCTATCTGTTGGCCTAGGCCACTGGCCCTACTGATGAAGGAGGTTAGGGCAGTTTCTATGGACCTCAGTGTCAGGGGCTGAGTGCTGGTACTTGGCACAGACTATGTAATACAGAGTCTATATATTTAACAAGGCTCAGAGAGGACTATTACTCAGTTGGTTGAGTGCCTGCCTACCATGCAGGAACTCCTGGGCTCCACTCCCAACACCAAATAGACTAGGCATGGTGATACTCTCCTGTAATTCTATTGTGTGGTCAGTGCAGGCAGGAGTAGCAGAATTTCACCAACATCCTCAGCTACAAGGAGTTTAAGGCTAAACTCCTAGGAAATAGGGGACCCTATCTAACTGTAACCCCAAGAAAACACCTTAGCTATTACAGTTGTCCATCCCCTTTATCATCAACATCCAGATGTGACTTCTTGTGGCCATACTAGGTACTTGTCATCTTCCAAGTCATAGCCAGAGATTGGCACACCTCAGGATCTGTGTTCACTAGCACTGCCCGCCTTGCCACTCCTTCCCTCCCTCCCAGGCTGGCCTCACTCCTGCTCAGCCTTGGGAGCTCCTTTGAAGGTCCTGAGCCCTCTCTTGCCACTGCCCTGCCCTTTGGAGGAGACGCTTTTTCCATGGGGCAAACTTATATAACAGTGAAAAAAGAAAAACATTAAAAACAATAACAAAACCAACCCTTTGGAGCCTGGGGGTGCGGCTCAGTTGGTAGAGCACATGCACATAGCCCTTTTGAAAGATGAAGGCAAGAAGACAAGAAGGTCAATGTCATCCTCAGCTACAAAGCAAGTTCCAAGCCAGTCTGGGTTCCCCAAGGCCCTGTCTCCAAAAACCAAACCAAAACAAAAAAATTTTCTTTTCGGTATATAAGTAGAGAAAACAAGAAATGATTATTCTTTTTTATTCAAATTCAAGCCTGGGGTCCATCTGAGAACAAGGAAGGCTCAGAAACCGCCTGAGGCTCCACGGGGTGTCAGTGGCCAAGGCAGAAATGGAGCCCACATCTTCTGGCACTCAGCCCAGTTCTCTCCCATCACCCCTTAGAATTTCTCTGCTATGTCAAGCCATGCGCAGTCGGGGATCACTTCTGGTGGTATACGGTATGGCCAGGCACCGTGGAAATGTTGAAAATTGTGCAGTTCTGCAAGTGGAATCAATGCTCAGTCTGCTTTTTTTTTTTATCTCATTGAACCATACTGTCATCTGGGCATGCTAACCTTTCTCGGGAGAAGGTATTAATGCCTTCTTTAAAGCTCTCTGTGCACCTTGCCTTAGAAGACCTAACTAAGGTGTTTCTTCCCCGGAGAGGAGGTTGAGACATCATGACACATTGCATCCTGGAAGCAAAATTCTTAGATTACCAACATCATATATCGTATCTTATATAGCATATACAATACACACATTTATTATATATTAACTATGTGACTATAAATTAATATAACAATACATGATATATTGATATGTAGTTAGGGTATATGATAGATGGGTATGTATATATTCCATACATAACTTGTGAATTAGTGACTCAACTTGGCATTATCACTGTCATCTAAGATGCTCCAGAGCATCCAGAATGGAGTGAAAACCTTTACTTAGAACTAACCTGTCAAAATACAAGAGGGCCAAGAGGTTTCAGCCATAATCAAATGGATTAACATGCAGAGGCCAAGCAGAGCAGTTTGAGCCCCATGTGAGAAGGTTTGGGGTACATTCTTAACAAGCCAGATCACCCTGGAAGGCCAGGTGTGTTAAGTCCCAGTAACAAGGTCTGTTATCCTCCACTCCTGAACTGTGCTAACTCAGAGGTTAACCAGCCAACTTTCCTCTCAAGAGCTGCCAGAGCCTCAGGTGGAAACTAGGCTTATTGACCTGAGCCACTAAAACCATCTGCTTTGATGTCTAAGAAGTTACTTCAAGTCACTGAGCACTTCAGAAGACTACTCAGTTCAGAACAGTGTCAGACCAGGCAGATGGCTCAGTCAGAAAAAGTACTTGTCCTACAAGTATGAGGACCTGAGTTCAATCCCCAACACCCAAGTAAAATGTTGGTGTGATGGAACATGCTTGGGGAGGCAGGTTCAGGTCATTGGTCAGCCAGACTAGCTAATCTGTGAACCCCAGGTGAGCTCCAGGTAAAAGTGAGAGGCCCTGTCTCAAAACATCCAGGTGGATAGCATCCTCAGGCTACTGCATGCATGCTCACATGCACTTGCATACACAGAGATGTGCACATGCACACCAGGATGCAAGAAACAATCTTGACTTGTCACCTTATTTCACCAGCTCTTGGAATTCTTACATTGACCTGTGAGTCACAGCTAGATAGGGAAAGAGAAGGTGACTCGAATGTCCTCAGATTCAATTCTGAGATTCAAAAGATCCCATTTTCCAGGCTGGAGAGATGGCCCAGTGGTTAAGAGCACTTTTTGCTCTTGCAGAGGAGTCATGTTTGGTTCCCAGTATTGGTATGGTAGCTCATAACCATTCCAGGATAATTCAACCTTTGTAGGCCCCAGGTACTCCTGTGGTGTGCATATATGCAGGCCAACACTCATACACATAAAAATAAAATAAATAGATCTTTAAAAGGGAAGGGGTGTCCCATTTTCTCTGCTTTACTTAAGTGTGTCTACTTGAAGATCCGAGCACTGGTGGCCACAAGGGAAAGTTGGCTTTTCTGCTGCATAGACAACCCTGCCCTGTTTGGTACTAGAGGCCATAGACTGAAATCTTGCTCATTCACGTAGCTGCAAGGTCAGCCTGCAGTGCATGCCCACCTCCTCTTGTTTTGCAATCACAAATCACCAGTTTGCAGTCTTGATAACCCTGAAGAGCTATTAAAATCACACATTGTAAATATGCACCTTCTATGCACATGCCTGGGAATGAGCACATTTAGGATGGTGTACTGCACCACAGCTGATTCTTGGGGGAAGGTTATAGTGTCAGTGTTGATATCAGGTGACGCCTAGCATCGGGGCTGTAATCACAGTTTATGGTGCCCTTGCTAACTGTCACACGTTGACACGCACCTGTGTCAACACCGCTCAGAGTGGGTCAAGTCACCCGGGGTCCATGTACGAATTCCCTTTCACATTCAGTTTGTCAAAGAGACAGAGGTCACATCTGGCAGAGTGACCGACTCACTGCCAGGGGAATCTGAAACCCAAACTCTCGGAGCTGAATCCTCTCCCTCGCCTCTGTAAATGTTCTATTTCACCAATAAACGGCTGTCAACCTTGAGATTTAAAGATCTGAGCTTGAAGGGGCTGTAATTATTTCTCTAGGGCTCTGTCGAGATTTCTGCAGCTTACTTACTCATTGCTCTCACATTATTTTATACTGTCCCCCCGCCTTTTTTTTTGCCTGAAACAGCAGATTCCTTTCAATGGCTCTACACAGATGGGTCACTATGATGAGCACAGTAAACCTTAGCCTGACTTACCACGTCAGTCGATGTTAGGGAATGGCTGAGCTGTGCCTGGCGAGGATGGCAATGACGGTGGTGGACTTCTCCTAGAAATCCTCTGCCTTCTCCCCTCACTATTTGTGCAGTTGAGAAATTTTCATAGTGCTCTTTTGTCTCTTGTTCACAGGTCCCGAATGTTCTCAGAACTATACAGCACCTAGTGGAGTGATAAAGTCCCCTGGGTTCCCTGAAAAATACCCCAACGGCTTGGAGTGTACCTACATCATCTTTGCACCGAAGATGTCTGAGATTATCCTGGAGTTTGAAAGTTTTGACCTGGAGCAAGACTCCAATCCTCCTGGAGGAATGTTCTGTCGCTACGACCGGCTAGAGATCTGGGATGGATTCCCTGAAGGTACCATCTAAGAACAGCTGGGAAAACCCCTCAAAAGGAGGAATCTTTTATAAACGTCATAATGCACACATCATTTCTTAAAAATAGCCAATAATGACAAGGGAAAAGAAAATGAAACTGTGAAGGGCGGGGATGGAATTTCTGTGATTAGAAAGGCCTTCCCAACGACACGTCCCAACTCCGTCACTGTGTACATAGGCAGTGGAGGCCGAGGAAATTAGTTCAAAGTCCTGAGTGATTTCTGTGACAGCCTGGGGACCAATGCATAGTTTTCCCAACCACCTTATTTCTGTCATTAAAACATCATTTACATCAAATCGCTCATTTTAGAAATAAGAGAGGGAGAATGGAGCAGAATTAAGGGATGGCAGTATCAGGAAGGAGAGGAGTAGCTGAAATTCTAAATGGGATGGTCAAGCCAGACCACAGTAAGACAGAACCATGTGAGCATGGGTTTGAAGGAGGTGGGGAAATAGGCATGCAGAAATCTGTGAAATTTTCTGGAGAACTAGAAAGTGAAACAAAAATCCACATGAAGTGCAGGGCATTTACCCACCAACCCCACAGTTCCCCAGAGTTTTCTTGAGTGTGAGCAGCAGGAAATATTAGATAGAAGGATTTTGATCGTGGAGATAAACAGATAGAAAATAAAGGATAGCCTCGAGAGGGCCTGGAACCTGTTCCAACGGCCCTGACTGTCTCTGCCCCAGAGTATTTATAGAGACGCCAAGGGGGTGGAGCAAAAGACCTCCCCCCAGCACAGCCAAGTGCAGACCATCTCAGACACCTGCACTCAGGCCCGTGGTTCTGATCATCCTCTATTCGGACCTGCTGGGTAAAGCCACAAGGAACCCAAGAACGGGCTCCCACAATGAAGATTCTAAGCCAAGTGGGGAGTATCAAGAACTTGTTGCAGCCACGTTGCTGATATTGCGCTTAGCCCAATCTCCTGCTAAGACTTCCCTGGAGAATCTGCTGCATGTCTTTGAAAGGGCTACTGAGAAGGGCTCAGTGGCTGGCAGTTGCAGATGTGTAGCCACCATTACAATGATAGGACAGTGTTCTTGAGTCAAATACATTGTGAGTGGAGCAGGTAGAATATGAAGGCAACTGCTTATGGTATTTGAAGACGACATTGAAATTCCAGTCATTTTATCAGTAAACAGCAGACAGAAATATTAGTGTTAGAGGAGCTTTTGACTAAATAGTAAATGAGTGAGTTAACGTTGGTTTGATCTATTCTTTCTCTTTTACCTTATGAAGAAGGTTATAATGATCTTACAGGAACTCCTTCATTAGATAATGAGATTTTCCCAAACATAGCGCTGATTGTTTTCCAAGCATTCAATCTGATAATTAGGAAAACAGCATTATAATAATGTGGTAACAATAGTTGGAATGTGTAATAATGGGTTTATTTGTTCACAACCCAAATTTGCAGCTTTCCTTTCTAGAACTTTCATTTAAAGTGACATCTGAGGAGAAGGTCCCATCAACCAACTTATTTAGAAGACTTTTAGAAAAAGGCACATTGTTATTAGTGTCAAGGGTTTCTTAAAGTGGTAATTTTCTGGTTCTAGAAAATCACTGTGTTGAAACTAAGAACAATATAAGAGTTACCAGCCTTATGCACCCGTGGTTTAAACTATGACAAAGTTGACTCATTTCCAGAGAGCACTGGCTTTGGATTATGAAGAAGTCATTATTTTGTTCTTGAGACAGGATTCTCACGTAGTGCAGGCTGGTCTCAAACTTACTATGTAGCTGAGGATAACTTTAAAATCCTGATCCTCTCATCTCTGTCTTCCCAGTACTAGGATTCCAGGCATTCCTCATTTATGCCATGCTGGGGATTGAACCCAGGGCTTCATACACACTAGACAAGCACTAAGTCATCTGAGTCACATCCCCAACACAAAAAACTTTGTATATTTGTTCATAGTTACCTGGCCTCATCCAGTCAACACCAGTACAACTGTATGGTCATAGCTTTCTCTTTTGTAAAGAAAATGGGAACCGATCCTCCTTGGTTTTTTGTCTGTGGCGCTAGAAACATTTTTGTTACTGTAGTTCAACACTCATAATTCCCATGCCAATAGACTTAGTCTCTGGCATCTTTTCCAGAAACAACATCCAAAAGGTGCAGAAAGCTTTTAGCCATCGCATGACTTTATGTTCCATCTTACCATAAACATTGAATTAAGTGACTAAGTAATTGAAAGCTACCCATCAACACAATTGACTTTGAAGAAAAGCAGTGGACTCTAAAACTCTGAATTCAAGACATGCGGGTTGTGAATCACACATCTCCACCTCTCACTCTCCAGAAGTTCGCGTAGAGTCACGAGTTCTGAGGGGAATGGTGTAGAGTGCCAACCCTGCCCCTGCAAATGGATACTGCATGTGTGTGGCCTAGACATGGAGCTAGGGAGTGAGGAGCTCACACCACTGGCATGCCAGCTTTCTGCCTAAGCTGGGAAGAAAGACCAGAACTTGGTTGTCACTGACATTGCAGAACTGATCGGCCGAGTCAGGAATGAGTTCCTTAGGAGCTAGATGAGTGCTGTAGTTTTTATTTACTTTTACATATAAAGTAGTCTAGTAAGACCATGTGGATAGAAATAGATGTGCCAACGTGCAAACTCTAAAGACTCTACCAATAGGCTTACTAATTTATGAAAAGTGAAGTGGTCTGTCTAGAGCCTAGGAAATGATTCCTTTCTGATTCATTAATCTCTTACTAGATGTACCTCTTTAGCCAGCGTAGCAGAATATGCCTGTAATCCCAGCACTTGGAGGGCTTGAGTAAGATTACTATGAGTTCAAGGTTATCCTAGGCAACACAGTAAGTACCAGACTGTCTCAAAAAAAAAAAATCTTTGCATTTGATTTTTGCTTTTTTCATATCAGAAGGCAGAAGACCACGTTATCTTCATTCTGAGGCAGGGCTGTGATTATTGGAAAGAATAAAGGAGTGGGGGTGCTGTTTTCTAAGAAGGACAGACATACTGTCACCTTCACATCCAACTTGATGGGACTAGGGTCCTGCGGTTCAAAGCCTGTACATCCCCCTTCCTGAAGTCCTCAGTGATTCACTTTGTGCATTAACTTCTGGGTTTGGGGATCATTTTCATCCATCTTTTTGGCCTTTGGGTCTACAATTACAGAAAGAAGAAACCCAGTGGCCCTATCCGAATATAGCACAAATGAGCACACGCGTTGTGCATGAGAGCGTCTTGTCCTCCCGGCTGAGATCAATATTGCATTAGCTTGTGAAGCTGAGGTCCCCCTGTTGTTCACGAAAATTCAATACCTCTTTGTATTATTGTCACCAGAGCCTTACACTCTCATATCTTGAGGGCTCCTAAGGAGACGTTCAGGGATCTGTCTAGGGGCAATGTTCTAAAAGACAGAAGGCAGATTTACCCAGCATGCCTCCAACATTATAAACCAGTGAGTCATGGAGACTCTCTAAATTATGAGTCTGCGTTAGACAAGTTCTCTTCTGTTTCCTCTTTCAAAGAGACTCCCCCTGCCACCCTCCCCAGAGGAATGGGTGGCAGGGGAGGGGGAGGATGGCTGTCAGAGCTTCCACGGGCACTGCCACTTCCCTCGCCAGCATTGACTGGGAAGGTCAGGGGCTGTGGTGATTGAGGAACAACCCAAGGATTAAGACTGTAAAAGTTTGCCCACAAACTAAAGTAAAAGATTATGAAAACCACACTAATGGAATTTAAATGAGGGGGAACCATGAGGAGAGGATGAATGGACACTAAGCCTCCCATTTATAAGTGCAGACCAAAATGGGATTCTTACCCAGGCAAGGGAAGAACTGAGTTCTTGGCTCCAGCAAGATGGTTTTTGTGCATACATTGTGGACAACCTGGAGCTCCTTGGCCAAGAAAAGAGGCGTTGAATTAGTGGCAGGGCCTCCCATCCCCGAATGAAGAAAACCTGGCACAGAGCTAGCACTTGGAGAAGAAATCCAGGCCAAGATTAAGCTGAAAAGAAGCGGAAACAATGAGGCTTCCATTTTCTGAGGCAAATGTAACAAAATTCTCTTTGCAACATTCAAAGCTACTGACCAGTGAGATGCTCTTTCCAGGATCATTATCAGTCTCCCGCCAGGGATGCCCTTGTGTTTTCCTCGTGATAAACCACATTACCCCCAGGTTCTCTCTTTCCAGAGAGAGGGTGATGGCCGAGAGAAGAGTCTTTGAATTCAGTCTGGTTGATGACTTTGAATACATCAAGTAATCGGCTATCCAGAGTCATGTGTAGTGGGATTAGAGCTGAGGCTTAGTGGGTAGAGCGCCTACCTAGCATACACAAAGGCCTGGATTCGTGTATACAAAAAGAGTATTGTGTCAAAGCTGGGCATTGAGCTCAGTTGGTAGATTTGCTTACTTCATCTAATGAAGCCCTGGGTTCGAGCCCCACTTCATATACCAGGCATAGTGGGACATGCCTGTAATTCTAATGGGGGAAGCAGAAAGATCGTAAGGTCAAGGTCATTGTCAGCTACATAGTGAGTTTGAGGCCATTCTAGGATACACATTAAACCTTTCTCAAAGACAACAAGAGAAATAAACTCAACTATGTGAACCACCTCAGTTTTTTGTGTGGTTTAAGAGGGTTGGTCAAACTCAAAACCTATCAGTCAAGGATCTATGTACTCTAAAATACAAAGTGTTCAGATGGTCTCCCCACTAGAAAGTCAGTGGTTCCTGGGGCCTTTGGGAAGAACAGCTCTTGTGGGGTTTACTTTTGCAATCATATTTGAATCACCTTACCCCCAAAGGCTGCCTTCTGCACCAGTTACATGCTTGGTCCTTGGAGACCCATGTCCCTTTTGAAGACCTGTCCCTCCATCCCAGGGAACAGGGAAAAGTCTACCTACTGGGATCCTTACGTGGAGCTATGAGTCTTAGCTGAAGTGCACAGAACTGTGGTTTTATGAGGCTGGAAAATAATCTACAACAGACTGTCCTTCAAAATCCAAGCCATATGGTATGTCTTTACCATATGTGAGATAAAAATACTAGAGAGAAAGTCACTACCTTTCTGTCTTGTTGATCTGAACAGATCAATGGAGAGGTCCCTCAGCTGCAAGGGGCTTCTGCACTCATTGCCGAGGTTGGGCTAAAACATTTCAGCAAAGGCACAGCTACACGAGCCAAATCAGAATTTGACTTTAACACAAACTAGTCAGTGTTCTGGGCTATTCATGGCCTAAGGCAGACATATCTCCTGCTGGGCACAAATGGTTGCTGTGGACCATTTCATGGCCACTAAACACAGTGTAGTACAATCCCCATTCTTGGGTGTGGAAGAGTTAAAAAACCATCAGAAATCAGAAAAACACATTATTCATTCATTTTGGTTGTAATTTATATACAAAACATCAGTGTTTGTAGTCTCTAAGTCTTGGATGGTTAGAATTGTCTATTAGTTGGTGGACTCAGTCCTGAGGAGTGTTTTGTCAAAGCTTTTTGTCTAAGAGTGTGATGTGGGTAGCTTAGGATCCAGAGCTGCATAATGGAATGAGGAAGGAAATCTGGGTTGTGTGACCCTGGATGCTTCCTGGGACATTATGTCTCCCCCGGGCTCTCCACTGGGGAAAGGAGAAGTGAGATATCCTGGACCTTGCCTAACTGGAGTCTTTCCCTGCTGAGCTGCAGAAACAGCTTGGACTGAATTACATTCTTTGCGATTGAAAGATATCTCTCTCTTTGTCTCTGTCTGTCTCTGTCTCTCTGTCTCTTTCTGTCTCTGTCTGTCTCTGTCTCTGTCTCTCTGTCTCTCTCTGTCTCTCTCTGTCTCTCTCTGTCTCTCTCTGTCTCTCTCTGTCTCTGTCTCTGTCTCTCTCTGTCTCTGTGTCTCTCTGTCTCTGTCTCTGTGTCTCTCTCTCTCTCTCTCTCTCTCTCTCTCTCTCTCTCTGGTGTATGTGTGCATGTGTAGAGGCCAGAGGGAAACCTCAGGCATCATTTCCCAGAAGTCACCACTTTGCTTTTGTTTCATTTTGTTTTTACATGTATATGTCCTCTGTGTATATGTGTATAACATGTTTTCTCATATATGTGAGAGTGTGTGTGTGTGTGTGTGTGTGTGTGTGTGTGTGTGTGTGTGTGTACATGTGGAGGCCAGAGGCTGGCATTGGGTGCCTTCCTCTATTGCTCTCTACTCGTTTTTCTGAGGCAGGAGCTCTCATGGAATACAGAGACCACTCACCAACTTGTCCTTGAGATCTCTGCCTCTACCTACTGAGCTCTGGGCTCACAGCTGGGCTGCCATACCACACCCTCACTGTTTTGTCCATAGACACTGGGGATTTGAACTCTGGTCTTTGTGGCATTGAGTCATCTCCCCAACCTGGTCCTTCCTGAGAACAACTGGCCTGGCTGGGGGGCGTGATTGTGCCTGTGAATGCCTGTCTGAGCACCTTTCCAAACCCTCTCCACAGATTCATCTAGTATGTGCACTATTCACCAATTAACCAGGGAAACTTGCACTAGGCTACAAAGTCTTTGTGTTCTGCTGAGACTCATTCTTATAAATGGTTATTTTTGCGTCTCCTGTTGAAGAAAAGATAGCCTGACATTCTCTGTGCTTCTCTTTTCCAGTTGGCCCTCACATTGGGCGCTACTGTGGGCAGAAAACCCCTGGTCGGATCCGCTCCTCTTCGGGCATTCTATCCATGGTCTTCTACACGGACAGTGCAATAGCAAAGGAAGGTTTCTCAGCCAACTACAGTGTGCTGCAGAGCAGCATCTCTGAAGGTCAGTGTGTATTCATCTCACAAAGCCCTGTAGCAAACACTGCCCATTATTTCTCATACACCTGCGGCCACACGAAACACTAAAGAAATGTTCTGTGAACTGTGGTGCCCACTGTTTGTTTTTCTCTGTAAAGAAAAAAAAACTTTTTGCATGTGAGTGTCAACTGGAAAAATATCATTTGCTGTATTTCCTCCACAAAATTATGTGTGAACCTCTGCAGTTAGGGAAGTGGAAAATGACTGGACACTGCGTGGAAACAATGAGAGGTGACCTGGAGGCTTCCCTGGCACCTCAAAGGCACAGGTATCAGCAACTACAAAGGACAGTTCCTGGCAGAGCCAGCCAAGGGTAGCTCATACACAGAGCCTTTACACGCAAGGATGCTGGCTGGAGGAGACCCTGGGGGACTCAGTTCCATTTTCTTATACAGTTAAAAAAAAAAAAAAGATGCATAAAAGAATGGTTTTTTTTTACATTTTAAATCAATTAATTTAGTGTGTGTGTGTGTGTGTGTGTGTGTGTGTGTGTGTGTGTGTGAGAGAGAGAGAGAGAGAGAGAGAGAGAGAGAGAGAGAGACACGGACAGACAGACAGACAGACAGACAGAGGATGGCTTACAGTTTTCTCCTTCCATGTGGATTCTGGTGGAAAAGGCTGTTACCTGCTGCACCATCTCACCAGTTCTACATTTTTTAAGACAGGCTCTCATGTGCACCAGGCTGGCCTGAAACTCACTCTGTAGCCAAGGGTGACCTTTAACTCCTGAGCCTCCTGCCTCTAACTCCCACGTGATGGGATTACAGGCGTACAGCACCATACCTGGATGTGCAATGCTAGTGCTTGAACCCAGGGCTTGGTGCATGCTAGGTAAGTAGTACACCTACAGAGCCTGAGACCCAGCCTGTAAAAGGAGAGTATTTCCATTTGTCTTCCATACCTTTCCAACAAAAAGAGTAATGTATTTTTTAAAGATCTTATTAAATACTCAGGGCAGGGCAAATAGCTCAGTGGTAGAGTACTTGCCCGCAATGCAGGAGTCCCTAGATTCAGTTCCCAGTGTTGCAACCCCTCCGCACAACAGAAAAATAAAACAAAAAGAAGAAATACTGATAAGCTCATGAGGCTAAGGGTTCTTTTGAAGGCCAGACAGAAGAAAACCTGTCTTTCATTGGTTTTGCTGAACTGCATCGCACTTGGGACGGAGTCCTGGGTGGGGCCTGAGTGTTTCAGAGCTCTGCTAGGAATGCTGATGTCTTCTGCCCTAATTCTGACTGGGAAATGAAAAGGCGAATAAATTCAAACTCTCTTTACACTTAACTTATTTGGCTAGTTAAAACCTTATCTGTGAGCAGGGCAGTGGTGACGCAAGCCTTTAATCCCAGCACTCGGGAGGCAGAAGCAGGCGGATCTCTGTGAGTTCGAGGCCAGCCTGGTCTACAGAGTGAGATCTAGGAAAGGCACAAAGCTACACAGAGAAACCCTGTCTGGAAAAAACAAAAAAAAAAAAAAGAAAAGAAAGAAAAAAGAAACCTTATCTGTGAGGACACAAATTTTAGAAAAAGGTGACATTTCCATTAGTTGAACATATTGGTCAGCTTTCCATTGATTCAACAAACATGAGATTTTTCAGTTTAAGAAAAAAGGTTTCTTTTTCTTCTTCTTCATTTTTAATTTATTTTATTTTGGCACATGGTCTCATGTATACCTGACTGGCTTCCAACTCAGTATGTAGGTGAGGATGACCATGAACTTCTGATCCTCCTGCCTCCACCCCAGGATGCTGGGGTTGCAGATGGTGTGCCCCACCACATCAGATGACAAAGTGCTAGCATGCCACCTGTGTGGCTCCGTTTATGCTGCACAAGCACTCTGTCAACCAAACCACATCCCTCTGCCTCCACCAGCATTTTGTCAACCTTAGCCCACATGGGAGAGTCAATAATAATGGTGCTGACATTCATAATCTTATTTTAAAATATCCTCATTCAGGAAAACATAATTATAGGTGCCATATTCCAATAATCCAATGTTGCATATTTTCCCAGACTTTAATAATGAACTCTGTCCTCTCCCTCTCCCTCTCCCTCTCCCTCTCCCTCTCCCTCTCCCTCTCCCTCTCCCTCTGTGTGTGTGTGTGTGTGTGTGTGTGTGTGTGTGTGTGTGTGTGTGTATAGGCCTGAAGTTAACATCGTTTGTGTCTTCCTCAGTCACTGTCTACCATATGTTTTGAGACAGAGTCTCTCAGTGAATCTGACTGGTTAGGGTAGCTGGCCAGCAAGCCCCAGGGATCTGATGCCCAGTGTTCATATCACAGGCCGAGCTGCCTTTTACTTGGGTGCTGAGGATCAAATGCAGGTCCTAATGCTTACTGAACCATCTCCCCAGGCCATGAGTGAACACTTTAGTTTGCCACATTAAATTTAAAATGTGTCTTCAGCCCTTCCTAATTTGTCTGCAGATTTCAAGTGTATGGAGGCTCTGGGCATGGAATCTGGAGAGATCCACTCTGACCAAATCACAGCATCCTCACAGTATGGCACCAACTGGTCTGTCGAGCGTTCCCGCCTGAACTACCCTGAAAATGGCTGGACTCCAGGGCAGGACTCCTATCGGGAGTGGATCCAGGTAGGTGGCACAAGGCTGGGCACAGCTGGGCTGGGAGACCTATGAGGCATCTGGAAAGGCTGGCAAATAGAAATGGATGCTCTGTCAACCACAGGAAAGAGCCCTGAACACCATTCAATCCACTCACACACAGTAGCAGAGCTGGCTTAGGTGGCCCCCCAGAAAACATTCTTCACTGCTCCTTCCAAAGTTTGAGTAGATACCTTACTACACATTCACTTCCTGTGTGGCCACAGTTCTATTTCATTGATGGAATACAGGAATTCTGTCTATAGGGTGTTTTAGATCTTTGTCTACAAGTATTGGGTTTGGGGTTTGATTGGAATAGAGCATGTTCTGTGTAGCAAATTAAGAGCATCTGCTAACTGTGTTCATAGACAAGTATGGAATCCTCATATGTGCATCTTCATTAGTGTTTCTGTTGCTACTGCCTGCTTTTACTAGGCTCCTGGATCCTTCCTTACTGCAGCAACACCACCACCACCACCCCCGGCACTGGTCCTCCTCCCCCACGTCTTCTGCTCTCACTGTTTCCCGGGAGTCATCCCTAGTACCATTCAGAATACCCATCCTTGCACAACCTTGACTTCCGGATGTATCCATCTGTATTATTTGTCTTCTTGTTGCAACAAAATATCCAACAAGAGCAACTTAAGGGAGAAAGGGTTTATTTTGGCTCAGTTCCAGGCAACCCAATCTGTCATGGCAAAGGAAGATGCAGCAGCCTGAGCAAGGGGCAGCTGGTCACATTGTATCAGGAAACAAGAAAGATGGATGCTGGTACTCAGCTCACTTTCTCCTTTTTATGCAGTCCAGGACCTTAGACCATGTTGTCCACTCTTAGGGATGTCTTCTCACCTCAATTAACCTAATCTAGAAGATCCCTTGCAGACATGTCTGAAGATTTGTTTTCTTTGTGATTCTAAATCCCATCACACAGGCAATCATGATTAACCATCTCGTCACCACCCAAGGCCCTGTGCTTGGGTTCATGGAGTCTGCACCATTATTTAATGAAGCATGTGTATGTGGATATTCTGTGTATGTGCCAATCAACTGGCCTAAGAGTAGACAGAGCCTGTCTTTCATTTATTGCCTGATATATAAAATGGACTAACTCCAGAGAGAGTCTCTATGCAAGGAGAAAACTGAGACAGTTTATCCTCTCCCATGTCCATTGCTGTTTCAGTCATTTGAGCACAAATATAGGATTCTGTTTTACTTTGCAAAGGTCAATATTAGTTTAACATACACTTAAAGTGAAAGCCCATTATGGGAGACTGAACTCATGCTAACCTCTGAATGATAACACGGAGCCATGTGGAAAGGGTGGGAAAAGATGAGGCCTCGCTCGGGATTGCTGAAGCCTGCTTAGATGAAGCCAGAGGTGAAATTAATTTGCTCATGGTAGCTTGTCTTTCCATGTCTCCAAACCCACCAGCGGTTCCTTGTGAATGACAGACGCAGCTCTGGGGGAAGCTTGCATTTTTGCAGTGCTAAGCATGTCTGCATGGTAATGCGTTTCTATTCTGGGTAACGTGGACCTTACTCAATAATGGGGCCCCTGTGGTCCTGCAGGGGTTCTGAAACTGCCGGAGTAGCAATTCTTCTCTACGAACCAGTTCTTCATTGGCGGAAACATAGAGACAAAATGGGCACTCCTGAAGCACTTGTCAAAGAGATAGGATCTTACATCATTTTTACTCGGTGCAATCTAAGATAGCTACAGAAGAATGCCATCTACCCTTTCTCTCGTGGAATAGTGTGGTTAGAAGCATGGCCATCATGCCTCCTCCCTCCCCCCCACCCCCCCCGCAAAGGTTTATTTCTATGCATATTCCTCCACCCCTAGCCTGGCTGGGGGCTCAGACCTCTACATACCAAACTGAGCAAGGGGTTGCTGTTATCTGAAATGTCTCTGTCAGTAAGGCAGAAGAGGAAGGAAACCAGGGACAGTTACCCAAGCTGTTGAAATTCCACATCTCCTTGCCAACTCCTTGTCATCCAGCCTCACTCAGCCTACCTCTGTGGAGGGAAAGGGCAAACTGTTCGGTGAATGCCCTGACAGTGGTGCTTCTCATAAGCTCTTCCCCCACTCTTGTTTGCTTCTGAGGTGTCCTGGCCACTTAACAGCTTTGGGACACTTTCCTTTTCTTTTTGAGGTGGTCTCTCCTGTAGGCCAAGATGGCCTTGAACTCACTATGTAGCTGAGGATGACCTTGAACTTCTGACCCTCCTGCCTCCCCCTCCTAGGTGTGGGAATCGCAAACATGGATCAAAACACCTGGTTTTATGTGGGGCTAGAGATGGAACTCAAGGCTTCCTAAATGCTAGGCAAACACCCTACCAGTGAGCCACATTTCCCGTTTCAACAGGAGGCAGATTTGGTTAAATCCCCTAATTCTAGGAAGGAGCTAAAACTCCTCCATTTCAAAAATAGGGGCACTGAGGCTGAGGAAAACCAGTAAGTATTGGTCACTCATGGGACCCTGGACTTAAAGTCTGTTAGGCTTCCCAGCCCCACGTGCTTCTTAATGTTACCAAGTGTGGTGACGTCATGGTCCATTTTCCTTCACACATGTGGATCTCTCTCATGAGTACCAGAGTCTGTCCTCTCCTTCCCTCTAGCTGAAGATGCTTATGTTGGCCACGTGTGGGGACTTCACCCCTCAGTGTCTACAAAAGGTGGCTGTCATGAATGCTTAGCGTCTCGTTCACATTGAGGTGACACGGTCCTTCTCCTTTGGCGTTCAGAGCTCATTTACACACTCATGTCTGTGATCGTGGCAGGAGCGGTTCTCATCCACCCATCACCTAATTATGAATAATTTCATGTGCTTCCAGCTTTTCTGAAGCTCCTTGGAAGTGGCTGGCTGGTTGTTTTCATCAGATAGATGTTTTATAAATTAACTAACGAGCGCAGCGTAATTCAGATGAAGGGCCAAGGCAGGCGCTGCTAATCACGCAGCACAGCACGTACGGCGGCACACACGTATGTGTCTATTTTTATGCACATGATTATGCAGATGACATTTGTCTTGATTTTCAGCTTTATCCCATTTTGCATGAAATGTGCCCCACAAAACACGTTGCTGTAGCAACAACTAGAACAAATACTTGCATGTGTTAAATTAATAAGCCAACATTGGAAACTGGCTTTCCTTAAAGACAGGAACAGCCTTCAGTTCCCATTGTTTTCTCTAGGAAATTACCAAGTAACGTTTTAAAAAAAAAAAAAACAACAATACATCGTTAGCTGTGGATATGAACGTCCACACTAGTGCTTCCTGTGAGATCCGTTGTCTGCCAGGAAACTTCAAAACAAGACAAGGAGCTGCCTGGTAAGAAGAAACATGAAGGGAAGTCCCGGCTGGAAGGTTCTCGAATGGCCATATCCTGCTCACAAGGCCACTTCACAAAAAGCTCTTGTTAGTGGTCACAGTTGAGCACAATGTAAAATTTGTTCATTTTTTTCCGGATTATTCCCTTCTGTAGCTTGTCCTTCTAGGCTACTTAAATTATTAACATGACCTTTTTCTTTCTTTGTTTCTAATGAAGCAATCACAGACTCATATTAACTGTGATGCAATCAAAATTCTCACTTTTGTACACATCATTACAGACTAACCTTAGACTCATGGCAATGAGGTCCTTCCCCACAAAACAACGATGTGGCCTTCAGCCACTGAAGCCCCACCAGTCCATGGCACTAGGAATCTCAGAAAAACACAGGCTGTGTTTTTCTTTTCTTCCACACATAGTACATATCATGTTGTATTTGTTCAAGAGACATGGTCTCATAGATCCTAACTATAGCCATTCACACACAAAGCAGAATTTAATTTGTTAATTATTCCAATGTTTTATTAATGATGGTGTTCACCACACTGTAAACAGATTTATCCTTCCAGCTTTAATTAAAGCTCTTGGGAGCATTTTCCTCAAAACAACTGTGACTTTCCCTGATTAAAATGCCAGGAGACAAAAAAAGAAAAGCTACTCTAAGAGACATAAGGCTGGGTGGAAGATGAACTCTGCTGATCCCAGATAAATAAGAATGGTACCAGGGACTAATCTATTGCCACCCCACCCCCAGTGACTTTAGAGATAGGATGATTTGATAAACCAACTCAGGCTGAAACCACTCTTCTCCAAAGGGGAAGGCATTGCCTTTTGTGGAAAAAGAAATGTTGTAGTAGGTTATGCTCCAGACAAGCAGAAGACGGCTTCTTAGCCATGTTCTGTTTGTAAGTTAGCCCTGGTGTAGACAGTTCACACTGGAGCAGGCCTCTGGGAAAGCAGTGATCAGTTATAATGTGATGAGATTCGAACCTGAGGATAACCAGAAGCATGGAATTGGGGCTGGGCAGATAGCTGTGCAAGCATGAGGTCCTGGGTTCCACCCTAAACCTTCATTTAAAAAAAAAAGCCTTCTATAATGGGGGTTGACTGTAAGCCCAGTATTGGGAGGAGGAAATAGGAGGACCCTGGGGCTTGCTGGTCTACCAGTCTAGCTCGTTTGAAGAGCTCCAGACTCCAGTGAGAGATCATGTCTCAAAAAACAAGGTAGACAGACCCATGTCTCATCTCTGGCCTCTACATGCACACAGACACAGACACAGACACAGACACAGACACAGACACACAGACACACACACACACACACACACACACACACACACACACACACACACAGTTTTTTAAGAGCAAAGACAAAACAAGTTGGACTTCTTTCAAGGACCACATGAAATAAAATTATGTTTTCTCTGGTAATCAACACTAATATACATTTTAATCATCTTTTAGGTAGAAAAAAAGTGCTTGCTTATTCAGTTAGAAGAGTGTTTGATTTGAAGTCCTTGCTTGTAACCTTTAGAGTATCCCCAAATTGAAAGTTAGAAACTGAAGTGACTTCTCTTAAAGTTGTTGTAGACTACCACTTGTGTTAACAATTTGTAGACAATGTTTGCTCTCCTATTGTACTGTCTGGATTGATCCTT